CCGACACCCCCCCCCCTTCTCTTTTCTCACCAAAAGCAAGGTCACAAAAAATATAAAACATCATAACATATGGGTGTTTTTCTGTTCAGAGAGTTTCCATGGCCATATTACATAAGGTAAGTTTGTAAGAGTCATACTCCACTTTTCAGTACCACCAAACCACAGTATTAGAATTATAAGCTATTAAGTTATGCTCAAGATTCAAAGAAGTTGCATTATGGGAAGTAAAAACAACATTTAATGTACCTTTTACACTCCCTCATCTTCCCTGTAAGTTCTTCCAGCTGCTTGCTTTGTCGATTTGGGTCTTTGACCTTGTCCAATTTCTGGAAACCATTGCTACAAAGAAATCACAAGAGCACATGCAAACACAAGATCAAAAAAGGGGTGAAAGACTTATATATGTGACAATCGCATGCAACCCCTACCACCACCACCACACCCCCACCCCCCCCCCCCACCAAAAAAAAAAAAAAAAAAAAAAAAAAAAAAAAAAAAAACCAATCACAACATCACCAAAATAAATTAAAGAAAACTCTCCTCAATAATTGCTACTAAAATTGAAAAGTTATCGAATTCATTGAAATTTTGACCTCCGAAAATGCTTGAGCTTGACATCCAAATCTTAACGATGCTCCTCAGTAATCTTTTAACACTTCTGCTTCATCTTAAACTCCCTAATTATAATGGATTTTTCACCTTGTGCCAAGAAGTTGTCTATTTCCGGCAATAGAGTTAAGTAATGTAACTCTAGCCAAAATCTAAACGAATTTCCACAAAAATTGTAACAGAGCAGGATTTTGCACATAGCCACATGCATGCACAAAATTTAGAGCAGGGTAATATCAATGGTGCTACAACAGTGTATAAGTTAATTTAATAAGGAGTTACAACATTTTCAATAATATAACATCCTAGATGCCCTGTCCATAGTATTTCACTACATAAAAACTTATCAGATGCCCACACTTGTAACATTGACATTCTAAACTCATAAACTAGTAAACTACCTGTTTTCAGCACTCAAAAATCCCAACAATTTAATCAGCTGAAGATATTCTCCTTTCTCAGCATTAGAACTGAAAACACATGGCACAGCTTACCATAGCCGTACAAATATACATTTTTTTAAACAGGTTGAGGTATGTATGAAATTCTACCTCAACATAAGATTTAGAACCCGCTAACCAAATCGATACCGAACTACTTCAGACCACATCGATACAGGAAGTTTCAAACCAAAACACATGGCACAGCTTACCATAGCCGTACAAAAATACATTTTTTTAAATAGGTTGAGGGATGTACGAAATTCTACCTCAACATAAGATTTAGAACGCGCTAACCAAATTGATACCGAACTACTTCAGACTACATCCATACAGGAACGTTTCAAACCAAAACTTACTAAATTGGATTTCCTACCGAGGTCCCAGGCCACATAAGCTTAATTTTCCAACCACAGCAGCACATGCCAAGAGGAAAAGGTTTTTGGGAAGATATTAGATCAGAATAAAAGGATGAAGAAAACGAGGCACCAAAACAGTTGCCCAAGCTAAGCTATATAGCCTACTATAAAGGTGAGTGATATTTGAAAATAGCAACACAGAGGTGATCACACACTGGCTTGAAAAAGGTTGTTATTAAATGATAGAGTGAAAGAATTTAAGTTAAAAAAAAAAGGCAAATGAAAACAACAAATGATCCCTCCTTGAGGAATTTCAGCTTTAATTTCACTTTTTCCCTGTTAACAGCAACAGAAATGACATTCTACTGACAGAATAAAAATAGACCACAAACCCTGAAATACCACAGTACAAAAACCCTTAAACCCTCATATAGCACAGCATAAATTTCCAACATCCTCAATTAGTACAACATGAATGCCCGAAATCCCTCAGCTTGAAAGCCCAATATCCCTCAAACAGCACAGCACGAAAACCTGATATCCCTCAGATAGCGCAGAATTAACACCAAAATCCCTCATTTAGCACAGGACAAATGCCCGGCATCTCTCAAATTGCATATTAAGAAAGCCTGATATCCCTCAATTAGCACTACGAAAGCCCGAATCCTTCAAAAGTACAACGTGAAATCCTGACATCTCTTGATTACCACAGCAAAAAAAGCCCAATATTTCCGCCGTCAGTTCACTAGGAACCCACATTTCTCTGTTGAAGAGACATAAATGGAACAACAGGAATGGAAACCATATATAATCCGTTTGACATCACTTTAGTCCTCAGTCCTTGCAATATAACAAACAGATAGCTCACAATGAATCCCACAATGTGCCCAACTAAAAATGGGCTAATGCTCAGTATTAACTGTCAAATGCTAGTCACATGCAAGTGCAGTACGGATCTACGATTTCACTGAACCATAGGCAGTAGCTAAGCTTAGCCGAAACCGTACCCGAATAACACAAGGCAATCAATCCACATTGCCAGTCCTTTATGTTACGGGCCAAAAAGTTACCATATTTTGTCAACAAAGACAATTATTCACATCATAGCGAAATTCCATCACAATGATCAAATAATAACGTAAACTACTCCAAAATTAGAAATTTGTAAATCATATTTCTCTTTAACAAGTAAACAAGATTAAAATCGAAAGAAAAATACTTAAAACTAACCCTAAATTGAACTAATCATCACTAACCTAGTGACATTGACACCAAAAAAGTAAGAGAAAGGAGCTTACGCAAGAGCTCGAAAATTGTCGCGAATTTCGCCATGGATCTGCTCCATCTGAGGATTCATCGGTAAATCAGTCGCCATTTTCGCCGGAATTGAAAAAATCCGGCAAAATCACCACTCCAAATCCAAACTGAAAACAATGCTTAACCCTAACTAACGTACATAATTATCCCCAAATCAAAAAATCCAACAAACAAACAAAACAGTGTGATTGTTTGAAAAATTCAAATCGAGTGACGAGCTTTTGATCTGAAGAAATTGCTAAAATTGGAACCCTAAATTGAAACTTACAAACTACAAAAAAGAATAAAAATTCAAAAAAGAGAGAAGAAATTGAAGAAAAAAGGAGAGAAAAATTAGGGTTCTTAAGGAGACAAAAATTGAGAGAGTAGTGGGAGAAATGATTGAATGTGTAAAGGCGAGGGAAAGTTGGAGAGAGAATGAATCGTTAGTTTGGTTTGGTGTAATAGAAATAGAAAGAGTATCGTATGAATGTTTACAGGCTGTGTTCTATGACGTTTTGTCTCAATATTTTATTACTCATTTATTTACTCATTTTACTGTACTTTCTTTGTTTTTTTATTTATGAAATTTTCTAATTTTAACAAATGGATTTTGTTTCCTTAAAAAAAATGGATTTTGTTACCGTACATATATTTGGTGTGCAAATGTATTACATGTTATTTTCATTCAAAAACACTGCACCTGGTCCACAATAATATTATTGTAGATTCGAGGTCTATACACACGTAACTGACATTATATTGAATATAGTGACCATTATTTTTAACATAGTAACCTTATTTTTAACATAGTAACCTTTATTAAAACTATTACAACGTTTAATAATATTGTGAACTTGAAATACGACGTTATTACCCTAATTTTAGCGTGGCATTTATTATTCATATTGATTAGTATATAAAATATTTCATTACAAAAATAACCACTTAGACCTATATATTACCAAAATGATTTTTATTTCAACATAGTGACCTTTTTTAAAATTATAGTGACCCTTTTTTTTTGTTAATAAAACAACCATACTTTCTCTAATGTTAGTGGTCCACAATAAATTAGTGTGAACCAGGTCCATTTAAGAATTTGTAATTTTCATTACCTTTAAAAATAAAATGAATTGGATGATTGGATCGGATCACATAAAAGAGTTAATTTTCTAGTTCGGTGATGAAATAAGAAATAAATTCTACTGTAGTGATTTAGATTATGTTGTTTATTTTTTAAGGTAAGAAAAATATCAAGCAATTTCCATGAAAAGATGCCCCCAAAACATCAAAATTCCTCAATTATACCCCATTTTACAAAATCGTTTACATCTGCGATTACAAATATTATTTTTTTTGCCTTACATAGTGCGAGTGGGGATGGCAATGGATAGGGTCTGGGTAGGGTCTAGTAATACCCAGACTCGTACCCGGATTTTTCAATCCATACATACCCTACTCGGACCATTTATAAAAGGTAAGGAATATGTGAATAGAGTAAATTAGCAAGGTGTAAGCATGTGTCTTTTTTAACTAGTACGTGTTTGGTATGTGGGAATTGGGGCTTGGGAATGGGAATTGAAAAGGTAGGAGTATATATTGCCTTGTTTGTTTTGTGGGAAGGGGAATTGTAGGTGGGATTGTGAATGGAAAAAAATTTCTCTATTCCCATTTTATTACTGGGAGAGCAAGTAATAGAGACGGGAATTGGGAATAAAGAGAAAAAGACTATTTTACCATTAATAAAAGCTTAAGAATATGACATTAGTACAAGTATAACTGTTAATTTACAATTTTATTCCCAATCAATTCCCTTCAAAAACCCAAACAAGGAATTGTGAATTATAAATTTCTTGTATCAGCTTGAAAATCAAATAGGACCACTGTTTTGTTACCATAGGCCCATAGGGTTTAAAAGGGTTTAAAGGAATGTAATGGTTAATTTGTTACCCCTTACCCTCAGAGAATGGAGTGTATTATCTACCCCTCTCATACCAAACCATAGGTAATTGTCACGTTTAAGTAATTCAGTATCAAATACTTTAAAACACCAAACCAAACACGCTCTAAGAGGATGGAAGCGTGGATTTGATTTAGAATTTAGACATTGTTAAGTTATCTCCGTTGCATCACCAACCAGCAACGACACTGGGTCAACAAGAAGCTGTATGTAGCTTACACATGCCAACACCATTAACCCGGGGGGGGGGGGGATAACTGGCCCTTGGTATGCCACAAAGATCCTTCTGTGTTGGGGGTAGGGAGGGGGGCAGGGGGGCGGGGCAGAGGGTAGTTTGCGAAGTAAAGAAACCCAGAGGCAGGATTTCCATTGCTAAAAATAAGATTACAAGGATGACAATACCAGTTTATCATATAAATCTGAACAATACATGCTCTTTTCTCATGAACACCATCTAATCAAGTAAACCATTGGAAGTCTAAATATATTGAATGTATATAGCTCATCAGCTGCGCTACTACAGGCTACGGCAGAGGTTCTTGAGATCCACCCAATCGAGACAAGTGTAGATAGGCATCTGTACCTGCAACAATGTAATAAGAACATCTGATTTGTCAGAATCTTATGGTGCCTTCAACAGCAAATATAAACTACCTAATAATTACTATCAGAAACCACAATACTCACTGAACAAAGCATTACACCATAATATGAACGCTGCAAAAATTATCATAACATTGCCCAACAACATATACGTAAACTTATTAATCAAAGCCCATTTGATCATTTATTGATCATCTAACAAACATGAGGAAAGTTTGTAAATAGTGAGAATTTTCTTAGAGAAGGTGACGCTAAATTGCTAATGATGGCTTTTGGCTGGTAGGGTGAATCAGGTGGTGTAGGCAATAGAATTCCATAGCTTTTGTGATAATTAGTTCGTTAAAGGGTTTCCAAGGGGCCATATTTCAGGAGTTCTCAACAACTTCCTTCTTTGTGCAGAAGCTTTCTTCAATCTGCTTCGCAATGCAGCTCCTGAAAATCAAGACTCATGGGGTTCAACTTTTTCCCACAATGCACCCACAGTGTCGCATCTTTTCTGTGATTGATTAAAATTTACAATAGTAGCTAAAAACAAATCTCCAAGAATGCTCAACAGTTACAGGCTGCACAGATTATCCTCAAAAAAAATATGGAGCATGGAAATTATATTATGTTAAAAGTTGATAGCTTGAGAAGAATATAGACCTGAACACAATCATTGGTGATCGAAGATAGTTGTCTGCATACGTATGAAGGAGAGGGATGTGGACACAATGACAAGGATTAGGGTAAGAATTCAAGAAAAGGAAGATTTGGCAAATGGCAGCACCAACAGTTACCAATACTCCATAGTAACATAAATATCCAGCTTCTAGATGTGTTGAAATTCTCCCAATTTTTGACCAGATTAGGCTACGGAAGGTCAATGGGAAAAGCTGAGACTCATTATTATTGCCAAAGTCTGCATATAGGATGGTTATACTTGTGACTTAAAACAGTTTTCATTGGCGCCATTCTAGCGACAAAAAGGCTGGGATCTTACCAAGGAAGGGTCAGTCTGGTGACTCTGGTCAGGCGGTCAGAGCCTCAGAGGGACGACAGATCATCAAATAGTTGGATGTTCACGTGCTTGCAGTAAACAAAATTGGGGAAGGAGTGTACAAAACAGAAACATTGCCATAAGCAAGCTGCGAGCTATTGCTACCCCAACATCAGATGGATGCTATTGGCCTAGTAGTTGTAGTTCTATAAATCAAACTCAAAGCTCCTCTGTTCTTTACAGTTCTGGATTTAAAAATTTGGACTTGACCTATCAACTTAATTATTACATCTACTAACCTACTTGATTAATTCAATATAGGAACTGAAAACTTGAACTATGCATTTGACTGGTATCTTTTATTTATTTCAAGACAATATTGTCTAATATTCTCTGTAGCAGATTAAACCTCGTAACCTTTTCTCAATTCCCAAATGAGAACAAACTACTACATAGTTCGATAGTACATAGGTATAACAGAGGCTAAAGAGTAAGACTAATGTAGTAATGCTAGATGAGTAGATGGAAAACCAGTCTAAGCTAGATATTAAGTGCATAAGCTGCATAACAATATATGGGAGACAGCCAGATGGGAAGAAATTATGAGATAAGAAGATTTACCATATCCTTCCATGGAAATAATTTGCAGGTCTCCTCCAAAATAACGAGCATACAATCGACTTATAGGAAGCCCGTATCCATATCCAGCCATAGTCACATTATCACCAGTTCCAAGATCTGTATGCTCATCCAACGGGTTCTCAGCAGTACTGTAAAGGTATGTAAAAATCTTAGGGAGACCACTTCTTGGAATCCCACCTCCTTCATCAGAAACCTACAATGGCATCACAGGAGTCAAGACACACACTGAGGAATGAAGATTGTAACAAAAGCAAAAGTCTTCAAAAGCATCAACGTGCCTTAATCGTGACATCCTCTATTCCATCAGCTACTATGATACGAATAGGAGGCACACTGTCTGAGTCCATAAATCGCTCTTGAACAGCACGCAAGGAATTTTTTACCAACTCGAAAACCATAAGGTGTAAATGTGAAGGTACATACCTGGGATCAATAAAGAAATGTGCATCATTATATAACTCCATTCACAGGACAATAGGTTCAAAATCCAATAGAGAATACAAAAGATCATTCAGATAAATAATTATCAGCCGGCATCTAAAAATTCCTTGCATAGCCTCCTTTACCAGTGATTTGGTTGACAAAACATATGGATTCAAATAAAAATAAGTCGAGATTGCAACAAATGCACTACCACATCATTATTTATGCATTTATAGAAACCATGCAGACGTTTTTGGGAAAGACAAAATGAGATGCAAAACTTCTGAAACAGAAACAGGCCCCACTAACCAAGACCATGGTCCACGACTCTACATTATGTATAATCCATCTTGATCAATCCCTAGGATATATTACCACTGAGGATGAAGATTACCAATCTAATCTAATTATATAAATAAAGAAGGCATTTTTCGGAAGCATTTGACGCGCCACATAAGAAAAGGTATTATTTTGTCCAATAAAAAATTAGATTAATAATTTATTTTAGAATTAAAAAATTTACTCGCCACCTAAGCAAAAGTGACGAATAAGATTTATGAATTTTGACACATAGATAAAAGCAACGAATTGAGAATAATTAAAATTTAAATTATTTTTAAAAACCAATAATTATCTTCTCTTAAAAAAAAATTTGACCTAAGTAATAATTATCTTTTTTACATATATGGATGCAAATTTTTGATCGCAAATATATTTAATCTTTCCCTAGCAAATATTATAAAAGTTTTATTTTAATAATGTATTCATAGAGACGAATAAAACTAAATCTCATATGACTAATTCCCAATAAATTTTAATAGTTAAACGATTATAAATGAGACTAACATTTTAAACAGAATGAGTATATTAAATAAATGCATAGGCAAAAGACTTATTTTGATCAATAAAAAAACGAGATTTGTCATTTATTTTTTGAATTAAAAATTTAAATTGTCAAATAAAATAGTTAAAACAACAAAAGATAACTTTAGTGTTAAAATTAAAAAATTATCTTATAATATTAGAAATTTTATCCATATAAATACATAAAATTTTAAATTAAATAAAATAATTTAGTAGAACCGTGCATCGCACGGGCTTACATCTAGTTTATACAATGGTTGACAAGCATTGAACAAAGGGAAAACAATTTATTCAAAATAGCTTATCAAGTTGCCCAAGACACCTCGAAGACAACATCACAGAGTTCAAATCAGAGATATTTTTGGCAAGGCCTTTCATCTTTGTTGATGAGCATCTCAATATGCATAATCAATAATATTAACTAATATAAGCATTTGATCTGGACTTTAGGGTGTCCCTGGGAACAAACGACTTCAATTATAAGCCTTGCTGGCTATTATTTTGCAATGCATCATATTACTGTGTTGTGTGTATCTCTCTTATCCTCTTTCTCAAACACACATCTTGTATAACCTAGATTATTCTCAGAGCACAAGGTTTCATGTGCTGTATAAATATTAGTTTTAAGTACCTTCGGAAAGAGATAATAATAAGTACAGCAGAGAAATATATATATGTATACAGAAGAACTTACGGAAATGTAAAGTTGGGATCGCCATAGATATCAATTTCAGGTGCACTGCCATAATGGCGCATGCAAATTGCACGAGCATCTTCACTAGCATTTCTGGCAACCTCAACGGGAGACATTTTTGTATGTATATACCCTATACGGTCAGGTTGAGGATTTGGATCGTGCAAAGCCACATGCTGCCCTGAATTTAGCCAAAAAAAAAAAAAAAAAAAAAAAAAAAAAAAAAAAAAAAAAAAAAAACTAGCACTATTAATTGATGTTATCTGTAATAGCAAGGGGGGGAAAACCGAATAAAATAAACCAAAGCTATTAGATTAGTGTAGACAGCAAAATATGAATAAAAAGTAAAAAGGACAAAGTAACAGGAACAACCTATGAGCATACGAATCCCTATTCTGGACATGTAGAAGCGATCAAGGAACTGGTGTATTTCGACCAAGTCTTCATATACAATCTTGGGATCCATGCCTTTCTTCAGTTGTTGGACCCCCATGGCCATCATTGGGACAACATTATTATGTCTAACTTTAATCATTTTAATCATTTGGGTGAAATCTAATTCATCACGGTTATCTTTAATTGAAGGGAATGATCTGAGATCACGAAAAGAGTCCAAATACCAATCGTGCACCTAAGAAGGAAAAAGAGTTTATAATTATTAATATAGCAATAATGATAACTCCTTTGTTAATTTTACAAAAGAAACAACCACCTCTGCTCTTCAGTTAGCATTATTCAACCTCACACTCAAAGACCTCAGCATGACTAAATGGATTCATAACATTATAAGATGATATTAAATGCTAATGATTTTGGCAAACCCCAGGGTAATTCATAACACCTTTACAAGTGATCCCATGGTAAAATTTCATAATAACTCTAACTTCCAAAATGAGTTGACAAAACTTGCACACAACAGTATAACACGAAGCAGATATGTTTTTGTCACTGTTGCTAGCTATTCTAATACATTATCCATTGAGGAAGCTTATAACAGTAAACTCTTCTAGTGGTGACATATTACTTATCAATAAAAGTAGAAATTTCTCAAGGTATACTTCTCCTCACCCCACTGAAGACTGTCATCTAAGTCACAGCTAATGTATTTCGTAATTTGCAATAACTTTCATAGTTTGCTGGAGCCTAGCTTTTGTATTCTCAGGCCTGATGAAAGAGTCTGGCCAATAGATCCCTCAAGTACTCAACACACTCTTTGCAAAATCACTCAAATTAATCTGCTACTATTAATTTCATGTATAAATTTGATTGACGGTAGTCTCAAACAGAATGAAAGCTTATATTTGGATTACAACTCAAGATAAAGATCAGCCTTATGACAGGCCAGTAGGTTACTATACTTACAAGTGCCAAGGTCAAAGAAAGTCAAGCGAACAATGTAAGAATGAAAAGATTCGTTGGGAAGAGCCTTCATGGAAGTTTACAGGATCCTTAGAAAGGTATGATGTCATCCACAAAGTCAAATGATGGTATCCTTGGAATCCAATTCAAAAACTTGACCATTCTTCTGATGGAAAAAGTAGTAGGATCTTTCAAATTCAATAAACATATACTTATCATATATAATACAGGTCATTATATTTGCTATGGTTGGGATTTATGTTGCCAGAATTTACTAAAGAATCCCATATTATGAATGGCGCTAAGCCATTAAACAGTTAATTGACATGTAACCAACGTATATTGTTAGATCAGTTACATGCATATTCATCATCTATCTTGTACATATTCTCATCTTTCCACTATAAATACACCTTTTAATTTATATGCAATCCAACTGAAAAGCAATAATTACTATCTGCGTAGATGATAATGCACTTCCTCCTTTCCACAAAATCCCTCTCTCTTTTCATATAAGTCTGTTCCATAAGCTTCCTCACTATATAGCTTTATTCCTTTTATGGCAAGTTTTATATTCGACATTAACCTCAAATGATCCACCACTTGGGACACATCAATTTGTTTATCAATATGTGATTTTCTCTTTCCTGCACATGAGGACCCCAATTGCCCAACTTTATTGTTTTGTATTTGTCACTGGAGAAGTGGAGAGAGTAACAATAAACATGGGTAACTTTGTGGAACGGAGGGAATATGTATTTAATGAAGCCGGGGCGTGGCCATGGAAGAGGTTGGGTGGTGACTTGGGCCAACAACAGGAGCCTTAAATTTTCCTAAGAGAGATAATATAGTAGGAGATAAAAGTTAAGCAATTTATCAGTATTTTATGATCTTCCAAGGTAAACTTGAAATCATGTTTTTTTAAAAAAGAATTTGGTGAGAAAATGACGCACACAATATGATATCATCACCTAACTAATCTCAGTGACAACAGGAGAGCAAACTCCACATGACAGTGAATGAACCTAAATTGACACATAACAGAAAAATTATTCTCAAAAATTCAAACTTTGATTATTAAAATAGCATTACAAAAATCTAAATAATACACATACATAAACAATACTCAAGATACTCTTTACTTTTGTGGATCATAGATAATATTCTCTATCAAACCAACAGCACTTTGCAATATCAGGATACCAATAAAGGAAGTGTTCTTTGAAAAAACAGAAAAAACATTAACCTGCAAATTTAACAATATTTTTACCATTTAATCAAGCTTACTATTGTATTAGTGATAACAAAATTTACCAGATTCAACTGCAAAATTACATGCAAAAAATTATATTCAATTCCAACAAACTAACATTCAATTTTGTTTGCAAATTACCAGAAAAATTCAGAATTTCAATGACGATAAATACAGAACATCGACATCAAAATTACAAGCACTCAAATATATACGAAGTGTAAATTAAAATGCAATACATAACTTCAGTTCCAACAAAATCCCCACCAAAAAACCCCGAAAATTCAGAATTTCAACCAAATAAAAATGAAAATTCTCATAAAATAGCATAAACCCAACAAAATTCACACCAAAAACAGCAATTAAAACCCCAAAATGACAAAAAAAAAAAAAAAAAAAAATTACCTTCAAAACAGCAGGTTTAAGAGATAAACCATAAGGAAGAGACTCAAGTTCAATAGCTCTACGCGCAATTCGAATGGGAAGCTCTTTATGAAGAAACTGAGCAGAAATCAACAAATTTCGTTCAGTAGGTTTTGATCCAAATTCCATCATATACCTTAATGTTACTCCATTTTGTTTCATTGAACCCCATTTATGAACTTCATCAATCAAACTCTTTGAAAAAATTTCTGCAACTTTTTTCACAGCCATAATTTCAAATATTTGGATTCTGGGTTTAACTTTTAGAAAACAGAAGAATTTAAATTAGTTATCACCCAAAATTACCCAGAAAAATGGGTGAATATTTTGAGGCAAAAACATGAGAAAAAATACATATAAAGTTACATGATTGTGCAAGTGACATAGATAGAATGTATGAATGAAGAGATTAGGAGAGAGAAAATTGGTGATTGTGACAACACAAGAGGTGTGGTGATGGTGAGTTATAGGACCAGGATGATTGCCATTTTTTTTATTTGGGATCAAAATTTATGGTGTTTAATGTTTATTAGTTTGAGTATATTTTTTTGTAATAATTTTAAATGAAATGAAAAAATACAAGGGATTAGATTCTAGGGTTCTTTTTAATGAAGGATTTTATATAATACAACTTTTGTGATTGTGATTTGTGACTTGGATTGTGATGAGAAACATAGAAGGGTGACTTGTACAATTGAAACTTTGGATATTTTTTTAATGAAAACGTGTTTCATACTTAAGTTTAAGTTTAATGTGATATTAAAAGGAGTTAGTTTGATATATAGGAGGGTTGTGATTGTTGCCAAGGTAATTACAATTGTATGTAATTTTTTTTTTCGTTTTTTTCCGCTAAATAAATTTGTTGTATAGGCAAAAGTTCTAATATGAGCCTATGAGGGAGTATAAGTTAAACTATTAAGCTAAAACTTCTACCAAAGGTTTATAAAAACAATTAGCAACGATAATATTTTGTAAAATATTCCATTTCTCAACAAGTGTTTCAAAATTCTTTTAATTATGTATTTAAAGTTTTGATATAATATTCAATTTCTCAACAAGTGTTTCAAAATTCTTTTAATTATGTATTTAAAGTTTTGATATGCCCAGACAATATGTTTTTATTGTTCATGTGGAATGCTTTATTGTTTCTCATCTATTGGAATTGAGATCACATAAGCCATTTATAATTGCATTTCGTATTAGATTATTCTTGTAAATTTTTACAAATTTAAAAGACCACTATTGTACATAAGACGGATGTATTATTTCAATTTCTAACACGTGATTATTCTTGTCCTAATTTCAAAAAAAAATTAAAAATATTAAATGCCTTAATAATGGATTCTTGTCCAACATGCTTTAATAATGGAATACATATTAAGGAGGAATTTAATATGTTTGGGTGAGAGTGCGAGAGAAAAAATTGTTAGTGGAGGGATTTACATCACATGGGTTATACACTTATATGAAAATTTTATACTTTTACTTTTAAAACATTCTAACGGAAAATACAGAGTGATTATTTGTGGACAGAAGGATTATATGGATCCATTAAGATCAACCCTTCATATCTCTTTTCCAATTCTTTCCTCTATACTCTTTTAGTTGTCCCTATTGACGTAGTGTACACTAATATTACACTCCATATAAGGTAAAGGATACATTAGCATACTTGGATTATAGGATTATACATTAGCATAGATAAGGCAAATACTAGAATACATTAATCAAATTTGGATAACCATTTGCCAGAGATATAGTGGGATAGTATAAACTCCAACATAAGCCGACAATCAAATGTTAACTTGCCCATTATAATAATCCTAAATGATTATCGACTAACGATGATGATAATGGTGATGATTGAGTAATGATGTGTAATTGAATATGCATCACGCTTCTGTAATAGCCAATTTAAATTAGGATTGGCCTGTTTGAGTAATTGTAAATTTGTGATGTAAGGTGTTGGACCATTCAATAGGAATTCATATATAATTAGGCGAAATAAAAATCTGAATATTGGCTTAATCTCTCTCTCTCTCTTTTTCTTCTTCTTCTTCTTCTTCTTCTTCTTCTTCTTCTTCTTCTTCTTCTTCTTCTTCTTCTTCTTCTTCTTCTTCTTTATCATTTATTGTAGGAATATCAATTGTAAAACATGTCGTATTTAATTAACTCAGATCTTATATAAATGTCAATTAAGTTAGTTAAAATTTTAGAATAACACTCAAAACTTGAGATTAAATCCCTGCTATATCAGCGTCATTACAACTCTCTTTACCAAAAAAAAAAAAAAAAAAAAAAAAAAAAAAAAAACTAATCATATGACAATCAAAGTGGTAAATTCTAAAGTTTTAATCAGCCTTTTAGCATATAAACATATATCAATCATATAACTAATATATAAAGCTAAACTTTTAGCCAGGTCACGAAATAGCGACACTTAGCATTCTAACTTTTCGCCAAGTGTCGCGCCACGTTGCATAGATTTAAATAAACCTCATAAGATAAAAAAAAAGTTAATTTAGAATTCTATGTGGATATAATTAAATAGAATTTTAGGATTAAATTAGTTTTATTTTCGATAAAATACCAATATTTCAAATGTACAAATTCAATTATAATTTTATTAAAAAAAATATTAGATTATAATTCTTAAAAATTAATAAATTATTTTTTGTATCATAATATTTTTTTAGGCAAAGGAAATAGTTCAAAGCGTAAAACATACATTTATAATATATATTAATTGGTTAAAATAATATACTTCACAATCTAGCAAATCGTATAAAGATTAAAAATTTATTTTATGATTCCATAAACAATCCGGGCATCGCACGGGGCACAAAACTAGGATAGAGTTATATAGAATTCGATTTGTAGGATAAAAAAGTTAATTTAGAATTCTATTTTCAATCAAATTTGGATATAATTTTAGGATAAAATTGTTAATATAGAGTTTTATTTTCAATAAAGTATCAATATTTCATATGTACAAATTAAATTATAATTTTATTAAAAAAAATATAACACTCATAAATCATATATAACTAATATATAAAGCTAAACTTTTAGTCAGGTCACGAGATAGCGACACTTGGCGTTCTAACTTTTCGCCAAGTGTCGCGCCACGTTGGATAGATTTAAATAGACCTCATAAAATAAAATAAAAAAGTTAATTTAGAATTCTATTTGGATAGAATTTTAGGATAATATTAGTTTTATTTTCGATAAAATACCAATATTTCAAATGTACAAATTCAATTATAATTCTATTAACAAAATTATTAGATTATAATTCTCAAAAATTCTCAAATAAATTATTTTTTGTATCATAATATTTTTTGGGCAAAGGAAATAATTCAAAGCGTAAAACATACATTTATAATATATACTAATCGGTTAAAATAATATACTCTAATCATATAAAGATTAAAAATTTATTTTATAATTCAATAAACAAAACCCGGGCATTGCACGAGGCACAAAACTAGTTGATATATAAAGCTAAACTTTTAGCCAACCTACGAAACAGCGACACTTGATGTTTCAACTTTTCGCCAAATGTCGTGTCACGTTGGCGATATATAAAGATTATTTTGATACATATGTCTTATTTGTTTGATAAAAAAAATTGGGTAAATTTAGATGGACTTTGTAGAATAAAAAAATTAATTTAAAAATTTTATTTTTAATAAAAATATGGATAGAATTTTGATAAAATTGTTAGATTAGAGTTTTATTTTTAATTAAATATGTACAAATTAAATTATAATTTTATTAAAAAAAATATATTAGATTAGAAATCTCAATTACTATTGATTAGGGGATTTTGCTCCCACCAATCGGAATGCGCCACGTGGGCCAATCAGGTCCTGCCAAGTGTCCCCCAGTTGGACCTCTCAGGGCTTGCCACGTGGCACACGCATATTCGTCCACCCTGGACCTATTATGTCATGACACGTGGCATACTCCATGCCTAATGGAGAAACCGGCCACCTAGGCCCAACTTCCGAGGGAAGCCCAATCAGCCCAAGGTTAACCTAAACCTAGGATTGGCACGTTTCCCGAGGTTATAAATACCTCCCTTAATCCTCATTAAGGGAGATTACGCACATTAAACACTCTCACCTAGAGAGACCCAATCACTTTAATTTCCGCATTAATTACTTCTTAATCAAGTACTAACTTGACCGTCGGAGGCGGATCTCCAATCATCCGGAGCATCCGTTTGTTTTGCAGGTACAGGCGTCCGATTCCAGTCTCGGAGTTGTAACTCTCCCGCAGGACATCAGAAAACCCCGAAACATTTTGGCGTCGTCTGTGGGGGGAGTACTTCTGAGATGGCATCCATGTCTGTACCGACTCCTGAAGAGAGGCGTCCCCTAGACGACCCTCAAGTTCAGTCGGACCATGATACTGAGAATGAATTTGAAGTTGAAGCTCACACAGCTTCAGACGGGACCCTAAGGGCCCGACGCACCCGTCATACCGAAAGGAGGGAACGGGAACATCTTCAAACTGGAAGTGAGCCAGCAGGCGCACCGCCTGTTCGGCAGCAGCCGACTGATGGGTCTGCTCCCATCACAAGGAACGAACTAATGACCTTCATGAGGGACTTCAAGGGAGAGATTCAAGAGTTGCTCAACAAGAAGCCTGCTCTGGCCAAGGAACAGTCGGCTAAGAAACCCTCCACTTCAGGGAAGAGGAAGCCAGTTCAAGGGCGAGAGGCGACCCCTCATCCTAAATCTAGGAAGTGGGAGCCGCCTGCCCTTGATTTCACAAAATACCGTTTTCCTACTCCAGGAAAGAGGAAACCTGTTCGTCATATTCAGGCGGACGGGTCGAAGAAAACATACACAGATGCTCGGTTATTGCTAGAACAGAAGAAGAGTGACCAATTGTCGGAGTCGGCCTCTACTTCAAACTTCCAAGACAGTCTGCGCAATACCTCGATGAGGCATACTCAGTCGCATCATGAGAGTCAATCAGGCGATACCTCCCGTCAGTCCGACTTTTATAGTGACCAGGCGGTACCAAACTTACCATTTGTACCGCAACAACAATACCTTTTGCAGCCACCTCTGTTTGGTGGGCATGCAGCAAAGAATGTCCAACCTATGGACTGGCAGCTACGGTTGCTTAGACTTGGGGAACAGCCGTCGGCCTTCTCCAAGGAAATTGCTGAAGCCGCTCAGCCGGCCAAAGTGAAAAATGTATTAGTAGGCGCCTATGACGGCACTACTAACCCAGAAGACCATTTGATGGCATTCACCAACCTGATGTACCTTCAAGGGTTGGATGATCCCACTTGGTGCAAGTGTTTCCCAGCGACTCTCAAAGGAATCGCACAACAATGGTTCGGCAACCTGTCGACTGGTTGTGTGAATAACTTCAGGATGCTTGCTTACTTATTCACCTCCAACTTTGCCATGAACATCCCTGCGAAGAAGACGACCCTTGATTTAGGAACGATTCAGCAGGGCGAGAAGGAGGGGCTTTGTTCTTACATCAGGCGGTTTAACCTGATGAGAATACAGATTCAAGGGTTACCGGATGAGGTA